GAGAGAGAGAGAGAAAGAGACCAAGTCTGGAAACAAGAAAAAGTAGGTTTTGGAATAGATCCTGCATGCGTGTGTATGTGGAGCAGGAGAGGGCGACAGGCCATAAATCAAGATGCGAATTGTCAGACAACTAGTGCAACCAGCGTTTTTTCACCCCGCGTGTGAGGGTACAGTCTTGTCCCGCCGTCTCGTTATGATCTAGTCGCCTCCATTTATCATTTCACTGTCTTGGTGGCTGATGCAGGTTTGATCACCCCATTTAGGTGGCTACAGGTAGGATTTGGATAACATAATTACAACTCCTTTACCAGTTTATTCAAGTAATTGCCAAGAGCATTACAAGTTTAATCAAAATGTATTTACAGTGATGAGAAATGCCTTCACATATTAAATTGTTACCCTTTGTAACTCCTCTCATTGCAACGTAGATTACGTCATTTGGCTGTGGTGTTGCCAGCTTTCCGGATGCAACCGGCTCAATGTCCCGTCACCCGTTTCAATAACATTGACAAGTGTTTTTCGTTAAATATTTATGCTTCTTTGTCACACGCAACTGAAGTGAACCTCTTAAGGAATTAGGGGGTGTCGCAAGTCGGATTCAACAGCCGTTGGATTTTCCAGTGATGTACTTGACACGTCCATCACCGGCGTCCCAGCGGCAAAACCTACCACCACTTCCACCCGATACACGCACTACCGAACTAACTAGCTCAAGTATTCGCCTCAAAGGCAAAAGGTTATTGTTCCTGTACCAGGCACATCCTAGATCTGTTGTTTTAAACCCAGTCATTATAGACCGGTAAAGGAAACAGCGCTCATCTGTAACGTGCAGGTTCAGACGAGAGTCGTGCATTCACATATACCTAACGATGGCTGTGAAGGTGTTACCTGTTATTTTCCTATTTTCTTTGTAATCATGGTTCGACCTGAACGTCCAGAGCGTGTTCCGCATTTGTCGCTGATCCTCCTAGGGGTACTGACTCTTGAGACAGCAACACTCTGACAGACGACCTCATCCTCATCCCTCCCAAATTCATTAATCCAACTGTCGAGGAGAAAGGTTCAACTTAATTCCAAGATGGCAACCATCGCATCGACCTAAATAGTACCCCGAATTCGTCCTTACCAGCGTAACAGGTCGCAAATTATATTTTGTGAACCACAATTTTACAAATTTCATTAATCCTTATCACTTTTACGTGTTTGCCCTGTTTGGACGCCTTTCAGATTCGATGAAAGCAAAATGGTATTTTCTCAGGGATGGATATTCAAGCTCCATTAATGTATCTCCTTTATTGAACCATTATTATATGTGCGCCTTGATCACATTACCCCCTGTCTTCCATTTTCGTTGCAATGATCGTAGACTACTCTTAGGATATACGGTCATGCTCTCTTCAGCTTGATGATTGAATGCGCTTTTCTGAAATGATGCTGTCACTGCAGCTACGGAATGTAGCGAAGGTTAGCATAAGTCAAACACATCACTAGTCAAACATTCCAACACTTTGTAGAGTGATGAAATGTTTGTTTTCGCCTGCCTGATTAACAACTTCCTGCTGTAACGATT